GGCGGCGGCGGCGGCGGCGGCGGCGGGGGGCGCGTGGCGGCGGCGGCGCGCAAGGACTCGGGTGCGGCCGGGGAGAGGGGGCGGGCGCCCGGGCACCGGCTGGCGCGAGACCCGGAGCGAGGGCGGCGGTGGGGGGAGGGGTGGCGGCGGCTCCACGCGCCCGCGTTGCGTCAGTCGCCCACGGCGGCGGCGGCGGCGGCGGCAGCGGCAGCAGCGGCGGCAGCCCCGCGATCGCTAAGGAATGCGGCGGCTCCGCATAACCATGGGGTCAGAGGTCACGGCTCCAGCCTCCGCTTTCCCGCTCTGCTGAGGGGCAGAGAGAGGACTGGCGGTGGGGCAGGAAGACAAGACGCAGCTTTCCCCTCGGCGCCCGGGTGTGTGCGTGTCTGCCGTGGGTGTGTGTGTGTGTGTGTGAGTGTGTGTGAAGAGTGAGGAGGGGGAGTGTGGGTTTTTTTTTTTTGAACAAAAACAAACCGAAAGGGCTGCTGGGAATTGTAGTCCTGGCTGCCTCTCTGGCCTCCCCCGCTCCGGAAGAATATGGCTGCATGAAACGCTTGGACCACACTTCCCGGCGTACCTCACGGCTCTTTTCCGCCCTCCCCTACTTTCCTCCGCCTCGCGCAGAGCTCTGTAAAGAAGGGGGCCGGGCAGTCGTTCGGGGAAGAGATTGGGCGGAGTATCGCGAGGTGCGGGAACTGGCTGGGAGCCTGAGGCATTCTGGGAGGCGATGCTGGGAAGGGGCGGTGGCTGGGCTCTACAGCCACGTTTAACCCTTTCGGCGCTTCTGGCATCCCAGCAGCTGGGCTGTTAAGGGTGGAGATGGAGAACTGGTGGTAGCTCGACTCCCAGTGTCTACCTAAACCACTTTGTGCCTCTCCCCGCCTAAACCCTTCTCACCGACACTTCACAAAGATGACAAGGGACAGGACTTTCCCTTTTGGTCCTGCCCTAAATGACTCACTGCCGCATAATAATGAGACAATGAGACACTCATACCAGTAAAACGGTTATTCCACGTTTGATGGACGTAAACAGTTCCCCATTTCCTCCTGTGCTTTCATGACACTAATATCGCTATAGGTTTGCAGAAGCTGCACCTGTAGCCTTGAGCATTCTTACCATTTGGCGACTTTCGTGATAATGAGGGGTAAAGAACTTGGACTTTGGGACCATACTGACCAGAATGCACTTGAGGCCTTTTTAAAGGTGGTACCCTGAAGAGAACACAGGACCTGGAATCAAGTGGACCTACACTGGAAACCTGGCTAAGTGACTCCCTGGGTACCTAAAAGTAGGGGTCAATTTCTCTGAGCCTCAGTTTTTTAATCTACATTAGTCTAATACCTCACAGCACTACTGGGATTAAAGTTAACATAAAACACTTGGCAAATTGGAAGAGGGTGTGAAGGGGGACCCTGACATTAGATCCATATAATTTGGCTCCTGGTATAGAACAAGTGTTTAATAATTAGTATAAGCTCAGAGACAATGGACAATGGACTTAGCTCTCTGAGCCTTGCTTGCAGAGTATGAAATGAAATGGGGCCGCCTGGGTGGCTCAGATGGTTGAGCGTCTGCCTTCGGCTCAGGTCATGATCCTGGAGTCCTGGGATCGAGTCCCACATCGGGCTCCCTGCTCCTTGGGAGCCTGCTTCTCCCTTTGCTTCTCTCTCTCTCTCTCTCTGTCTGTCTCTCATGAATAAATAAATAAAATCTTTTAAAAAAAATGAAATGAGGTTCAGAATACGAAACACATAGGTTTTCTGTACTTATTTGTCCAGAAACATTCCTAAAATCAGTTTTAAGCTGGATTAATGAGGAGCTCTTAAAAATTAGGGAAGCAGGGGCGCCTGGGTGGCTCAGTCATTAAGGGTCTGCCTTCGGCTCAGGCCATGATCCCGGGGTCCTGGGATCAAGCCCCGCATCGGGCTCTCTGCTTCTCCCTCTCCCACTCCCCCTGCTTGAATTCCCTCTCTTGCTGTCACTCTGTCAAATAAATAAAATCTTTAAAAAAAAAATTAAGGAGGCAGAGTCAAAGGCCACATTTGAAAGGTTTCCCTGGGGGCACCTGGGTGGCTCAGTCGTTAGGCGTCTGCCTTTGGCTCAGGTCATGGTCCCAGGGTCCCGGGATCGAGCCCCACGTCGGGCTCCCCGCTCTGCGGGAGGCCTGCTTCTCCCTCTCCCACTCCCCCTGCTTGTGTTCCCTCTCTTGCTGTGTCTCTCTCTGTCAAATAAATAAATAAAATCTTTAAAAAAAAAAAAAAAAGGTTTCCCTGGGTGAGGAAAGAACCTTCTCCCTGATGTTAGCACATGGAAGAGCCAGTGCTTAGAGAAGACCCATACTGTGCTGCCTAATCCTAACACCAGGAAATCCAGTGCTCCTGCTTCAATGCTCATCACACAGATGTTCACACCCAATAAACAAAATATTGCAAAGTGAACAGACTGTAGAAGTTTAAATAAAATCTTTCTCCCCTTACTTCACCCTAAGAAGGAGGAGAGGAAGAACAACCCCCTACCACCACCACCACCACGAAATTTTTTTACCTCATTTTTTTAACAAAAGTTTTTTTAATCTACAGCTGACACAGTAACCTTTGACAAGTCATTTGACTTGTTTCCACTGTTTTCTTCTTGAGTAGCTTCACCCTCCTCTGACCCCCGAGGAGTAACTAGAAAAGATTCACTCTAAAACTTACATGTTTAATACAGGCCTTGAGAACAGAATAACGTCCTCTCCAACACACACCCCCCAAACCATCTATGCCCTAGTCCCTGGAACCTATGACTAGGTTACATTCCATTGGGAAATTGACTTTGAAGATAGAATTAAGGACTATAAAACAGCAAGATTATCCTGGATTATTTAGGTGAGCCCTGTATAATCACATGGATCCTTAAAAGCAGAAGAACACAGAAGAGATGCTCTGGAGAGATTCAGAAGAATCGGATTTGAAGTTTGAGAGGAACTCAACCCAGTGTTGCTGGCTTTGAAAGGGGCCAGGAGCCAGGGAATGTAGGCAGCCTCTAGAAGTTGAGAACAAGCCCTGCCAGCAAGTAATACGACCTCAGTTCTAGAACTTCATGGAACGGAATTCTCACAACCTGAATGAGCTTGCAAGCAAGGTATTCCCCCCCTTCCCGCCAAGTCTGCAGAAAGGAATACAATCCTGCCAACACCTTGATTTTAGCCTTATCAGAGAGCCAACTGAACCATACTATATATGGACTTCTGGCCCACAGAAAGCGTAAGATATAAACGGATGTTGTTTTAAGCCACTAAATCTGTGGTAACTTCTTACAGTGGCCAAAAAAAAAAGCTAATACACTGGAAATGCCTTTAATTCTCTCAGCCAATAGTGACTGGCTCTCACAGTTGGGTCAAACCATGGGGGAATCCAGATGTGACTATTTCAAGGCCTCTGCCCTGACAGAATCAAACAGAAACTAATGACATCATAGTTAAGTGTGAAAAGAGTATGTCCAGAGGACTGTACAAAATATGTTGAAAAATTGATTTTAGTCATTAAACCTAAAGTAGCTCTGATTTTTTTTAAGTGAATGAGACTCAAGTTTATTCTGTCGTCAGAAGCACCAAAAAACAAACCTATACATTTTTTTTGGGTGTGTGTTGTTTTTATCACAATGTTCTTATTACAAATTATCTTTGAAGTCAACACAGGTACCACAGGACAGTCTAAGATAAACAGGACTGTATTCAACCCTGCTCTGTTTGGGGATGAGTCACTGTTTTCAAACTGCACAGTTATGAGCAAAGCACACATTCAGGAATTTGAATAACACACCACCAGCAAACCCAGGAATGCCCAAAAGGACAAATACACCTTCTGAACCTCAATATGAGCTAATGGATTGCCAGGGGCTTTTGACCTCAGCAGTCCTGGATTTGAATCTTCCTGCAGTCATTCTCTAGCTGACTGGCCTCGGTGAAGTTCTGAAACCTCTCTTTGACTCAATGCCATCATTTGGACAACATGACACATAAACTCAAAGTGTGGAATTGGGATTAAGTAGGATTTTGTAAAGTGCCTAACACACAGTAGACTCACTAAATGCCAGCTCTCTTTGGCTTGGAGATGGTTTAGTCTGAAGTATAAAAAATGCCTCATTTTAGGGCACCTGAGTGGCTGTTAAGTCGTTAAGCGTCTGCCTTCGGCTCAGGTCATGATCCCAGGGTCCTGGGATCGAGCCCTGCATCGGGCTCCCTGCTCTGCGGGAAGACTGCTTCTCCCTCTCCCAATCCCCTTGCTTGTGTTCCCTCTTTCGCTGTGTCTCTCTCTGTCAAATAAATAAATAAAATCTTTAAAAAAAATGCCTTATTTTTATACTTCAGCAAACAAAGCTCTGGAATAGAGTTTGCCACTCTAACAAATGTTCTCTTCCAATAATTCTGTCTCCATTTTCAAATGAAGTTGAGGTTCAGATGTCAAATTCCCTCCCCCAGGTTCCAGATGATTAAATGAGATCACATTTACTAAACTTCCAGAATAGCAGATGATCACCAAATGTGTATTTTTCCTCTCCCTCCCAC